AAAGAAAAATGCTCAACAGTATTTGTTACTCGAAAATGCTGATTGCTCAAAAAAGAAAATACTTTATTAAACAGTTACTTGAAACTTCTAAAACAGCGGTTCTCAACCTGCGGGTCGTGACCCCTTTGGGGGTTGAACGACCCTTTCACAGGGATCGCCTAAGACCATTGGAAAACAAAGAGATACTTACATTATGATTCATAACAGTAGCAAAATTACAGTTATAGAGTAGCAACGAAAATAATTTTATGGTTGGGGGTCACCACAGCATGAGGAACTGTATTAAGGGGTCGCGGCATTAGGAAGGTTGAGAACTGCTGTTGAAATATGGAACGTTCACATTATTCCAATTAAATATTGATGCTATATTATGAAGATGAAGTTAAAACTGTAATTTCTGAGTATCTGCTGTTAATTAGCTATCACTGGCAAAGGACCCCTTAAATTGGAAGACCATAAGAATTCTTTGATATGGAGGACTAAATACGAATTCTTCTCTGTTCTTTTACAAAACCACACTAGAATGACACCTAAACTTAGCCTAATACCCACATGGAAGACTGAATAGGCGAGGAGACCCTATCTGATTAAAGGGGAGGGGGCGGGGGGATCATTTCATTTATTGTAGAAATGAGAAAAACATAAACATTAGGTAGCTGACTTGGGTTTTAGCATTCTCTGCTCTAGGGGCCCACAGTGGGGTATAAGCCAACAAGGACCTGGAAAGGGTCTGGAATTAAAGTACCACAGAGGGTTCGGAGCTCTATGGGGAAGAAAAAACGGGACGACTTTCAAAGTCTACCAGGAAGGTACTAAAACCTTGGGGCTCTCTCCCCTGCCCAAGCAGCTGCTCCTCTCCTGTTCTTCTCAAAGACAGGTTTTATTACTTAAACTGAAAAGGAAAGCTGCTACAAGAGATTTAAGATACCTTACACAAATAAGGGTACCTTACAAAAAAAAAACCAGGAGAAATAAGTGAAAGATCAGTGCATACTGGAAGGTAAACTCAGTCTGTTTTGAACACCGTTGTATCCCCATTACCTACAATGCCTGTCACATAAAAGGTAGTTGATAAATACACAGAAAGGAGTTTAGAAGAGGGTTTTTTGGTTTTTTTTTAATCTCCAAGAAGGCAGAACATCAAAAAATATCCAGGATAGGAAACAGGATAGTATAAAATAAAATGTGAACATCAATCCAGGGGATTCAACATCTGACCAAAAGGAGTATCTAGAAAGAAAGAACAGAGAAGCTGGAGGGAAGGAAAGAATTACCAAGAAATAATGCTTGAAATTTTACAGAGCAAAAATTTCCAGGTTGAACTTCCCACTAACTGTCTACCACAGAAAAATGAAATTTCAAAATACCAGGAAGAAAAGATTCTAAAATACCTGTGGTATTTTAAACAGGTCACAAGAATCAGAAATGAGAATAGTACAGGACTTCAAAAGCAATCCTGGAGCTAAAATATACTGGAATAATGCCTTTTAAACTCTGTGGGAAATGGTTTCTAACCTAGAATTATATACCTAGTCCAGAAAAAAATCAAGTATAAGCTTGAGGGTACAATAAAGGCATTTTCCAGACATAGGAAGTTCTCAAAGTTTACCTCTCACAAGTCCTCTTTCTTCATCTACGTCCCCTAAAAAGGAACAGGAGAATGTATTCTACTAAAAGATGGAATAGAAGGAAAAGGAAGACTTTGTATCTAGGAAACAGGTGATACAACACTGTGGAGAGCATAGGAGAGTTCCCAGGATGAGAGCAAAAGGAAGTCCCACAATGACTGCTATGCACAGGCCTGCAGAGAACCAGTTCAGATTGGAGTAAGAGAACAGAGGACATTACCAGGAGGAATAGTTAAAAAACAAACAAACAAAAAACCTTGGTGGATTTATGTGTCTAGCCATACTGAGAATGCTTCATTTAAAGAGTTTGGGGATAAATTAATGACAAAGACCAAAAAAAAAAACACCAAGTGTCTTTTTACAATTAACTCTAGAAAAAACAAAAAGTTAGATGAAAAAAACAATAATAAAATATTACATGGCTTAGATATGACTATTTCTATTATAATCAATTGATGTGTCCTAAAATTAGTAAAAAGTTACGTGGGAGGATATGCAGAGAAAAAGTATTGGGGGGGGGGTGTCTTTAAGAGAATTAAACCTTCACAATCCAAAGCAGAAGGCCAATGGATAATGTTTAAAATTGGCAACTCAAGCAATAGCCATATAGGCATGGACTTTATAAATAGAGGCAAACAACAAAATCAAAACAAATAACTTTTGTTAAGTATTTACATTTAGGTAATAAATTTGCATTTAGGTAATAAAATGGGCATGGGAGAATGGCATAGGAATCTGCTATTTTCCTTGTAATACCCATAAGACTAATACTTTCTAAATCACAGACATATTACTTTATAACATATAATTTTCAAAAATAAAAAAAAAAATCATCCAATGAATAACCTACTACTGGGTTACTTATCTCATAATGGGATTGTGAATTACAGATCTTTGGAACAAAAGCATTTAGTCTCACAGCAAAAGAGGATTTAGATTTACACAAAAATTTAGCAAAAGACTAATTTTGGTTTTGAAATGCTAGTTCTCTGCTTAAACTCTTATAGGAAATGTAAATAAATTACATCATGAATAAAACTGCAGCATGGTAACTCATTTCCTCTTGACCTCACAATTCTGCTTTAGCCCCCTTTTCAATCAAAGGAAAATCAGATGATCAGGCTGACTAAAATCTCAAAAGCCACCAGCAACAGGGATTATTTACACCCAATTTAACAAAAGCCTCTCCTCTATTTTTTTTTTAATCTACCCTGTATGCAAATGAACTAAAGTAGGAGTTGGCAAACTATGGCCTCGGTGGCCCAAATCCAACCTGCCCCTGCATTTGTAATACCCACCAGCTAAGAATGTTTTTTACATTTTTTAGTGCTTTAAAAAATAAAAATATATTTTGTGACATATGAGAAAAACAAGAAAACAAACAAACAAAAAAAAACGATCACATGAAATTCAAATCCCCGTGTCCACTGATAAAGATTTATTGGAACACAGGCTCACTCCTTAATGTCTGCACCTATGGTTGCTTTCTAGTGATGGCAGAGTGTGTGGCCCACCAAGCCTAAAATGTTTACTATCTGTTCCCTTTCAGAAAAACTTGTTGACCCAAGGGCTAAAGAACTCTAGCTCTGAATTCCATTTTAAATAAAATTGAGCCAAATTCATATATAAAAAAATGTACATATACAAAGTCCCTGAATCAAGGGATGTTTGAATAAAGAAACTTAGGGATGGTCTACAAAGCCCTTGAAAGAGAAGAGTCCAGAGGGATTCAACAATTTGCTTAGGGTCACTTGGGTAAATGGGAACAGGATCAAGACTAGAGTCTCCTGACTCAGAAACAGCTGCTCCCTTAGATAAGCATCTGTCACCGAAGCTTTAGCCCTAATACTCTTTTGTTCCCATTCCACTCTTCAACCTTCTATTACTAAATCATTTATTTCCTTTTAGTTAAAATGTTAATAAAACACGCTTTTTAATTTGACCTTCCCCAAATATTTCAAACAGATTTCTCTTGATATTTCCTTAGGTCTGCCCAAGGAGCTGTATATTATAGAACGGGGGTCGGCAAACTGCGGCTCGCGAGCCACATGCGGCTCTTTGAGTACATACATGTGGCTCTGAAGTAAAATTGAAAATGAAAATGAAACTATCATAGTTTCATTTATAAAATTTTTAAAGGATTTAAAATTTTTCTTTATTTGTAAAAATATATTTATGGCTCTCGAATAATTTTTAAATTGTTGGGGGACATGATTGGCTCTTCCATCTCAAAAGTTTGCCAACCCCTGTATATAGAATATTGGTTAAGGGCAGGCTTTGGTGTCAGGGAGACCCGGGCTCTTGTCTCTGCCTGCCAGGGTATCACTCTGCCTCATAATCCTCTGAATTTCTCTGAACTTCACTTTCCTGTCCTCCTAAAGTGAGTATAGAACCTACCTCAGAAGAGTGCGGTGAGACTGAATAAAACGAAGGATGTCAGGAACTTCATGTACTGATTGTCACAGAATTAAGAGCTCAAGAAATGTTACCTATTATACTTTGTCTTATCATGTCCAGATATTTTATCATCATTCATTATCCCTGAAGAGCTTCACAGGCAGTGTTCCCAAACTTCAGTGCACATAAGACCCACACTGGTGAACCTGTCAATGCAAGCTCTCCCACTATGATTAGTTAATTTGGAAGGGGCAGGAATCTGTATTTTCAAGCTCAAGTGAAATTTGGGTACAGGTAGTCCACAGACTAGAAACAGTGTTCCTAGATAATGAAACAGATACTGAGGTTAAGAGACAAGCAAAAGCCTAAATAATCACAGCTTTAATGAAGTAGTCTACTTAATCAAAATAGCAAGGAGCTCAGTACTACTCACTCCTTTTGCTGTTTTTCCTTTTACAACAGTCTTAATTTGTTTTTAACTTATGTCGGGTTCCATAACTAATATTATATCCAATACAAAGATTATTTCCCAGTTTATGAAGGTTAGGACTTTCAGTTATACATCCAACTAAACATTTAAGAAACTCAAAAAGGTCAGTACTCAGATTTCAATAGAACCTCGGTTTTCTATCTTGGAATTCAGCCATATAGCCTTGTTACCATCTGCAGAGAATTTAAGACTGACTCATTTTATTTATTGGTATGTTTGCAAACAGAAAGAAAAAAAATACAATAAAACAATATGTATTCCTACTTTACAAAACAAGCTAAAAGTCTGGCTAAAAACAAGCAGGAAACTAAATATAGTCTACATTAGGAAACCTTGATGTGTAATACATGTGAAGGGAATTGCATGCAGCAGCCATACCTCAGGGTAAGGTTCTTCCATTTAAGTGTCTATTCCAAAACCAGCAACAAAAGCAGAGCTGACAGTGGCAAGAGTTGGTAAATGTAAATATACGGGTTCACAATTACCTTGCTCCAGCCTAAAGCACAGGGAGCGCCTGGCCGCTTCCATCTCCGGAGTCGGGTTATCTAGGACGTGTCTACACCATTGCAAAGGGCTCAGGGATTTCTCTGATGACGAGAATGTCTTTGAAGAGCCAACGTACAACCTTGAAAAAAGAAATCTACATTATAGGTATTATATAGGTATGTACAGATTACCTCTCTCCTAGAGAAAATAACATATATTTGACCATTTCTATCAAAACAGAATTCACATTTCATTACTTCAAATACCCAAATTACTTTTTCATAGGCAGATAGCCCCAAAAAGAGTATGGTGCTTTCTATAACTTGGTGGGAAGGACTGAAAAAAAAACCCACAAACAAACAAACAAAAAACACTATGAAACTATGTCTCAGAGAGTCAGAGGTTGGGGGTCCCTGTTATTGAACTAACCTTGAACTGGCACCATGATAATCTGACTACCTCACATTTTCATCTTTCTTGGCAACAGAATCTTACATGAATTTGGGCTGATGTATGTAAACATGACATAACAAATGAAGTAAATCTTACGTGCTTTTAAAAAAAAAGTCTAAAATTAAGTGAAAGTTGTTTGTTGATTCTCTCAACCTTTAAATAATCAGATATTTCCCGTCTCAAATCTATACTAAATTTGGTATGTGTTTCTTTCTCATTAAAGCCAAACTAACAGCTTTCGGGATATATGTTTGAGGAAGAGTTCTCTTCCAACATCTATATCATTACACAGTAATGGGTAGGATTCAAAATTACCACCATGAGGCACTATAAGTTAAAACAAAGGTTTCCTCTCATTGACATACTGTGCTAAGGTAAATTTTAGAGTTTCAGTGATAGGATTATATAAAAAAGTTTATCCTGAGGATTAACTAACAGTTAACTAAAAAAAAAAAAGGTGGAAAGAAAATTATAATCATTGGCTCTAGTAATTGACATTATTTCATAAAGCTGTATTCTAATTATAAATCTTGTTAAATAACTCCTTCCAAGTTACCAAAATTCTAATGAGCACACTTTCTATAAATAACATACTTCGTTATTCACTCTTTTACTGTTTATAGTCAGGACTTCCACCTAGCAGTATAATGCATCAGTTATCCAAGATGGTTGGGGAATGTACTATTCTTCGGTAAATTATTCTTTTAGGTCAGGGGTTGGCAAACATTTTCTGTAAAGGGCCAGCTAGGAAATATTTAGACTTGTGGGCACACAGTCTGTGTCCCAACTCCCTTGTTATAGCCCTAAAACATCACAGATGATATGTATTAATAAATGACTAAGTGTAGCTGTGTTCCTATAAACTTTAAAAGACATTAAAAGCTGAATTTCCCATAATTTTCACATGTCATGAAAAAGTATTATTTTGGTGTTTTTTTTCAATCATTTAATAATGTAAAAATCTAGCTGACCAGCCATAGAAACCAGGCAGCTGGCCCAATTTGCCTGTACGATACAGTTCGCTAACTCCTATTATAGATGAAGATTCTAAAATACTCTTTTAATCGACTTAATAGTAATCCTAACATATTATCCCCTAAGAGTGTGGACATAGTCCTACCTTCAGGAAGAGTATATTGATTAGTTAAATTCCGGGGCCCCACTTCAGCCTACTCTGACAAGATTATCATCTACCAATATAAACCCAGCCCTTTCACCCTCCCCTGCTAAAGGAGCCCTGAGCTGTCCAGCACTACGCAACTCTCTTTACACTCCCCAAGTAAAGGTTAGTCTAGGGCAGTTGGTCTCAATCTTTGGTGCATGACAATCTCTTAGAGGGCTTATTAAAACACAAATTGCTAACACATGATTGCAGGCAGGTCTAACCTTCCTGATTCAGTAGGTTTGGGGTGGGGTCCAAGTCCTGAATGTCTAACAAGTTCCCAGGTGATGCTGATTGCTGTCTCTGGGGACTACTCCTGGATGGATGCACTGGGCAAAGCCAATCATAGTAATCCCATTGTCCCATTTGCCCAATGACTTCTTTAGGCATAGGCCTGGACACAATCCTAGCCAATAAAAACTAAGGAGAAATATTCTGATAGGCAGTGGGCAAGCTTCTCCTCATTTTTAAAGGGTCACAAAAGATCCAATTATATGCTGCCTACAATATATACATTTTAAATATAAACACAAAGGTTAAAAGTAAAAGAGTGGAAAATTACAAAAAGCTATCCATAAAGAAAAGCCCAGACCCAGAAGATTTCACCACTGAATTCTATCAAATACTTAAAGAATACCAATTCTTCACAGATTCTTCCAAAAAACAGATGAGGAAGGAACACATCCTGACATATTCTATGACTCCAGTGTTACTCTGATACTAAAACCAGACACAGACATTACAAGGAAAGAAATTAAAGACCAATATCCCTCATGAACATCAGAGCAAAAAGTCTAAATATTTTAGCAAATTAAGTCCAACCATATATATGTAAAAGATATACTTCATCATTACCAAGTGTGGTTTATCCTAGGAATGAAAGGTTAGCTTACCATTCCAACGTCAGTGTAACTTACCATATATATACTAAAATTGAAAAACCATATGATAATCTTAATGCATAAAGAATAAAGCATATGATATCCATTCCTGATAAAAGCTCTCAGCAAATTAAGAAAACATCCTCGATCTTATTAGAGGCATCTACAAAAACAGGATCTATTAATGGTGAAAGACTATGAGTTTTCCCTAATATCAGGAACAATACAAGGACTGGAAGTTCTAGCTAGTGCAATCAGGCAATAAAGAAAAACATTTAGGAGCGACCGGTGAGCTCAGTAGGTTAGAACGCAGTGCTTATAACACCAAGGTTGCTGGTTCGATCCCCCCACGGGCCAGTGAGTTGTGCCCTCCACAACTAGAATGAAACCACTACTCGACTTGGAGCTGATGGGTCCTGGAAAAACACACTGTTCCCCAATTTAAAAAAAAAAGAAATACATTTAGACTGGAAAGAAAGAAGTAAACCTGTCTTTATTCACAGATGACATGATTGTCTATGTAAAAAAAATCTGAGGAGGGCCAGCCGAGTGGTGCGTTGGTTAAGAGCTGGCTTGGGACGCCAGAGGGCCTCGGTTTGGATCCCACATATGAGGGCCAGTGACACTGCCCTCCACAGCTAAGATGCTGAACAACAGCTCAACCTGGAGCTGGGCTGCCGTGAGTCACNAGGCAAGACAGTAACAAAAAGACGAGATAGCATGGATTTTTCAGTTAATAGTAAAGGAGGCGATTGGGATCCAATAATCAGCAGAAAGCTGAATACCACGGAGGAGGCCAGTTCATCCCCAGTCGGGTCAGCCTGAGCTATTAGATGCAAATTTCCGCCCTCGTGTAAATCCTTCACTCATCACCTGGCTCGGGCACCTGCTAGGCCACCGCGTCCGGGGCACTGAGGAGGGCCCCCTCTCTCTTCCTGCCCAGGCCCTCCTCGCCGTCCCCGGGGCCTCTAAGGCCAGGGTCCTGGGGCAGGTAGCAGAGCTCGGCCATACCAGGTGTAGTCGTCCTCGTCTCGCCAGGCAGCTACGCTGTCCAGGTCCAGCGGCTCCACCTCGTCCAGCAGGGTAGGGGACGGCGAGGGTGGCGCGGTGGCTCCCCCCGGCGGCGTCCCTGCTCCCCCGGGCTCCGGCCCGCCACCCGCGCCGAAGAAGCCAGTGGCGGGCTTGAAGTAGACGAAGGGCGCCTCGGGGGGCTGCGCCAGGCTGCAGAGTAGGGAGGGCGCCGGGCTGGGCAGGCAGTAGGTCCCCGGGAACGCAGGACTGGTGCTGCCACTGCCGCCGCCCCCGGCGCCCAGCGCCAGTCCGAGCCCCAGGCCCCCCGAGGAAGCCGCGGTGGCTGGGGGGCTCCGCGGACCCAAAGGGCTGCAGGCCCCGGCGGGGGGCGGCGCGGCGGGCGGCGGCGGCGGTAGCAGCAGCAGGTGCGGGGCGGCGGCCGCGCTAGCCGCCCGGCTCCGCAGCTGCTCGTTCTGCTTCTCCAGCTTGCGCACCAGCTCCTGCAGCTTCTTCACCTCTAGCTCCGCGTTCACCACCGGCCCGGAGCCCGCTCCGGAGCCGCCCCCCGCCGAGGCGCATTTCACCTGCTCCGCCATCATCCTGGGCCTGGAGGGCGCCGCAGCCGCCGGGACTTGTGCACCTTCGTGCTGGCTCCTCTGGCCGCAGGGAGGCTACGGCTCCTTCCCCGCCGCCCCGGCCCGGGGAGCAGACCACGCTGGGGCTGAGGCCGAGTGGGCTGCTCGCATCAGCACCAGACTCCAGCCTCCCGCCTAGGCAGCATCCGCCGAGCTGTTCTGCACATGCTCAGAGCGTCTCTCCAGTCCCCTGGGCGCCTCGGNAAAATGCCTAGGAGACCTGATTGGCCATTCTTTAACCAGTGAACTATCATCAAGCAAATACTGACTCTATAAATTCACTGTTTTCCTTGTACACATAATTCTTGGGCCAAGTATTGTCCAGGTTGTTAATAAAAGGTGAATAGTTATACTCTGCTTTACTAGAAAAAATAGACTTACATGAAAAAACTTGTAAAATGTGCAACGATTAATCCACATCTGTGAACTTTCTTTCCTGAAGACCAGATACAGCAGAAAGTATTATTCTAAACAAATTACCAAATATTAATTTTGTTTAACTTGTTAGGATAAAATCATGATAAAAATGCATGAAAAATTGCAGGTGATACAGTTAACAGTCACTTGGTCCATATTTTTTACTTTAACAATGATGCAGTTGTGATAGGGAGACAAAGATGTCCTCCAAGGTGTTCAATTAAAGATAAGTATGGAAAACGAATCTGTATATATTTGCAAATTGATTTGTATAATTATGTTTTTACCTTGAAGGATCTACAGAATGTTAACAGGGTTACCTCTGAGTTATGATAGTAAATTGAGGATAAGCAGGAAGACTTGCAACTTTATATTCACTTCTGTGTTTTGACTTTTTTTACAATGAAAATGTAAAACTTTTAATTTTAAATATTTTTTAAATAATCAGGTATATATAATCTACTACAGTTGTTTATTAATAAATAGAAAATAAAAATAAGTTGCCTTTCTGCAAACCAATCAGGGAATCCAAAGGAAAAGTACCCTATGAGACCACAAGACAGGGACATACATAAAATAGTTTGCAGTGATGAAGTAACTATAGAGGACTCTGCAAGCATTAACAAGTGGATTAAACCCTGTTGATTATTTGTTCACCAATAGACCAAAATATTGCAATACAAAAATATCTTAATGCACAAAATTCTATGATAGAAAGTTTTCTGTAAATCAGGTGACCTTTAAAAATATTTTAAGTCCATTCCACCAAGATTAATGATCCCTCCCTGTTTTACCACCTGGGATTCTAATCCTAGGTTTGTTTTGAGGAAGACACAGTACTATAAATACTGTCCATTTGTCTGAAGAAACATTTGTAAAGTGTCAAAGCAATGATTTATTTATTCACCTATATACTTGAGTAAAATTAGTAAAACCTGCTACAATTTAGGTTTACTTCAAAACATTTTAAGTGCTAATAGGCTAATCCCACTAAATAGGTGATTTTTTTGAAGTTAGTTATTTTAATGCTATTTTGCTTAAAAAAACAAACAAACAAACAAACAAAAAACTACAAAAGCCAAGTCTAGATATCAAGTACAAGCAACCAGTGGATAGTTAAATATAGTAGAAATAATGCTAAGCGAAATAAGTCAGACAGAAAAAGTCGAGAACCATATGATTTCACTGATATGTGGTATATAAAACTAAAAACAACAAAGGAACAAGACAAATGAAAAAACAAAAACTCATAGACACAGACAATAGTTTAATGGTTACCAGAGGGTAAGTGGGGAGGGAGAAGTCAATGAGAGTAAAGGGGATCAAATATATGGTGATGGAAAGAGAACTGATTCTGGGTGGTGAACACACAATATGATATATAGATGATGTATTACAGAATTGTACACCTGAAATCTATGTAACTTTACTAACAATTGTCACCCCGGTAAACTTTAATTTAAAAAAAAAAGAAATATTAAAATTACATCAGCTATATATACTATCACCAATCTAATAACACTTCGTAACAGTATAATTTTTAAGTGCTAATATTTTAAAGCATAGAAATGATCTCCATCACAAATACAAACAAGTTTCCTTCCACTATTTAAGTACATATCTTCAGAAAAGACCAAATGGGGACTAAATCTGTCTAAACTAGTATGACAGTGGCATGAGGGCTTATGGTTATTAGTGGTAACCTAAGAACCACCATGACAGCATTTTTCAGTACCATATTCAGGCTGAAATTGAGATTACCATACAGCCTGGGCTTCATAAAAATAAAGATGTAGCTTCTAAAGAAAGGCTTAAAGTCCCATTTAATGGAACTTTAATGGCTTAACGAAAGGGGTGAGCTGTTTTGACTTTTACAATGTGAGCTACTGGCACAGCTGCCCAAAAGTAAAGTACTAAGGGGCATGAATGCCTTATACTTGAATATTCTCCATACATTTTGATTCTCAGAATCAAACCAATTAGTTAACATACTTTACAGTCAGAGTTCTCACATAAAAGAGTGTACGGTGATAGGAACACAACAGATCCCAGTAGGAAACCAGCAGTGTTCTCCATTTCCCATTCCCTGTTGTGCAATCATGCAAGAGGAACGCCAAGTAAGGAAAACTCAGCTTGCAAAAATAGGAAGGGTCCTAAATAAAAAGAACCCAAGATAAAAGAACAAGTACAACTATTCTTCAGGCCACTGCTATGTAGAGGTGAGTGCTGTTCATTTTCCCCGTATGAACCCAAGTTCCACCCTATCTGAAGCTTCTACTCATCTGACCATATCCCACTATTTCTAGTGACTGAAGAAAGCATATTACTCCATGAGCAAATAGCATGAAAAAATGAATAATAAATTAGAACCCCCTCCTCCAACGCTATTCATTGATGGAAAGTAGAAAGTGCTAACCTGATTTCAACTGAATAAATGCTTCCAGTCTCAAGTTTTCTGATAACGTAAAGTTTCTGAAAACTAAAGTTTCTTTCATCTCACTTTTCTTCAATCACTAGTTTATTCAACAAAGCTCCCTGGTTACCAGGCAATAGAGTGTCTTCAAGTTGCCTACTACATTCCCTGAAAAGCTCTCATTTTGGATACCATTACTAATAGGTAAGCCAGTGAGGTCAGCACATTNAAAAAAGGAAGTGAAAGTCGAGAAGGACTGGGTATTCAAATCACAGTAAACTTCAATATCTAGAACATAATGAAAATTTGAACAAAATGGAACAATGACTTCAAACATGAAGGAAAATTATTGACTTATGCTTTTATACCCAGTTCAACTATGACTCTTGCATGAGGAAAGAATACAGACATTTTCAAATGTGCAGGATTTCAAAGTTTACTTCTCAGAGAGAGAAGTGCCCTTTCTCAGAAAGCTATTGGAGGCTGTGCCCCACCTACAAGAATAAATGAAATACAAAGACAAAGAATTTAAGAAACAGGAGATCCTTCATAGGCAAGAAACCTAAGGAATTCCCATGACAAGAGCACTAGGCATCCAGCCTAAGGAGCAAACTATAAGGACTGGAGCAAGGGGCTTAGGAGTACCAGAACGGGTGGCACTACAAAATACATGTTTAAAAACAGATTTAAGAGATTATCAAATGTGTTTGACCTTATTGGGGAATTTTATGGCTCAAATAGTGTTTGGATAAATAATTAATAAGGGATTAAAGAAAGTGAAAGGGGAAAAGAGACAGGCCATTATTAACTCTTAGAGGAACACAGGGTTTAGAGAAAATAAATGTAACATGCAATTAATAGGGCTCATCTAATAACAATTATAAGCATAACACAGGAATTAGATATGATTCAATACAAAAATTATTTTTAAAAAACATTTCAGAAGGGAAAGGCAATATGGTGGTTTGTGGGTGAGGGGAAGAGAGCTTAGTCTTCACATGCCAAAAGAAGTCTACAGGTGTTTAAGAGCATGCAGTATAAAGACTGTTTAGAAATAAAGAACAAAAGAAACAGCTAGAGGAGTCTAAAGTGATGCCTGTGTGGAGGACTCAGAGATAGGAAAGAGTAGAAAATTGCTGCTATTCTGTAAAAAGCCTTGCTATAGATGAGTTTTTGAACTACTCACATTCTATTTATTGTATTACTTTGATAAAACTTTAGAAGCACTATGCAAATATATGGTATTATGGGAGGTGATCATTTTCAGAGTCAGTCTCCAAACAAAGTACCCAGGATAACTTTGAGCCTACTGTGTCTATGGCTAAGGCCTAGAGCTGGATTTAAATCAAGTAGAAAAAAGGCAGTTAGTTATAGAGATCACGTAGCTACAAATGCCTTGAGAACCACTCCTACAATTTCCAAAATTATATAAGCAAAGTAAAACCTGTACTTCTCCTAAAGGGTTCTAATCTTTTAAAAAACGATTTTTTAAAAAAATCACCTTATTCACTGTCATTACAGTGCCAGCAACATTTACAATATCCTTTATTGCCATCATTAATACAACATACCTCCTAGTGACTTATAAACTACTCCTCCAACTTCTATAGTTTCATTGATGGTATATTAGAATCTGGCAAGAATATATGAAAAGCCTTAGTCTAAAACTTGAGAATACTTCAAATGTTAAAAAAGCTATCCCTTGAGTCACACTCTAATTATCTTTAACTTTGCTTCAATAATTTCCAAAAGCACATGACTAGAAACTCATCCTTCTCATAGGATCTCCTTTTCCAAACATTTCATATTCTAGGCCACTGGACTTCATAAATGTACTAACACTGAGAGGTCAGAAATAATACAAAGCCCACCATATGCTTCAAATGAAGTATTACAACTGTCTAGAAAAAAATCTCAGTTATTCTCAAGTAAATATTTACTTCTAAAGTGATACTTCTGTAGATAACACAAAAACAAATGGTATAGCAATATATACAAAAAAGACCTGTCATTGAAAAATAATATGTGACAATTTTCAAGTGATTTTAAGAGCTTTCAATGACCACAAATTTTATTTTAAGGAAAGCTAAAACACCAGCATTGATGAGCACAATCAATCAATCTCTAGTCAAATTAAACAACAGTGTTCAATTCAATAGCACCTGCTGGGGTCAGACTGGCCATCCACTGCAAAAGAAACTTACCACCACTAAGCTATTAAAAGGATACACGAAGTCCAAATTTGACTTACTGAACGATCCACAGCCGACTCCCCACTGCCTCCACAGTTAGATCTAAACTTCTATTTCAGTGTCTCACTGCAGCATTTCAAAGTTATTCATTTT